GTAGGGAAAATTTGTTGTAGACTGGTGAAACTGATGAGTAAACAACAATCATGTTCCTTGATCCTTCCTTCAAAGGACTATCCCACCTAAACCTTAATTTGAAGCTGATGGATACATCTTTAGAGAGGACCTCACCTCTTTGGGACACCAAGGGAATTCAAACCCCTGAACCCAACTCCACGTCTCCCCTGTCCAAAGCCCTGTTGTCCTGCAGCATTCAAAGCCTGTAGTAAGCAACAGAAGTCATGACTCCAAACCACAGAGGATCACTGCACAGGCCACTGCCCCCATGTAACCCACCACTGCAATGCCCAGCCAAGTAAGAGCACTGAACTACAATGTTCCAGCAGCATTTTCCCTCCCTATGATAATGCCTCACTGGTTTTGGTCTTGTATGACGAGGTTTGTCACTGACCATGGAGCCGTACATGGATATAAACGGCTCATTGTGCTCCAAATATCTGCTTCACCAGGTTTCTCACAATATCCAGCTGTGTGTGTATAAATATACATGGAATAATACATATTGCAAATATATATCTATATACACACTCATCAGTATACATAGTCAAACCTAAAATTATATATACCCTATTGATAAGGACACATTCAAAATATGCACAGCAGGGAGGAAGGACAGTGCTGAATGGAACCTCTGTTTGGTCTTCATTGCTTTCTGACCAAGCAGTTAAGCAAGCCAAGGGGGTTTAAAGGGATAAGTGAATCTATATCCCCTGTGACTCCAGACAGATGGGAAGCTCAGGCTTGGAAAGGAATTTATGCATGATTTTCCTACAACATCATGTGAGCCAGGCAAAGAAACCATCCCGTGATTCAGGATGTGATCTGAACTGCAAACTCCACCACACTGAGCACAAGGAACGTTTCCCAGATCAGCCTGTTGGCTGGTGTGAAGAACAATCCCAAGGGAGCAATGAGGTATAATTCAGAGCTAAGTCCCAAGAGTGGAGGAATCATTCACTGTCACAAAAGCAAGAGAGCTTGTGCACACATCTAACTACTGGTAAAACACAAAAAGTCACAAGTGGACACAAGTAATCAAATTAATAAACCAAGATAATGAGTCCCCCAGTAAGTAACCTGGGGTTTGGAACTGCTCACTGGATATGTTCAAATGGGTTATTAAAGCTTCTGCTGAACTTTACAGACTCAAAGCCAAAAGCTGACAAATGACAGGTTCAGAATGCACAATGAAAGGCACAGACAGACACGTCCTTGGGTATCTCTGAACACTTTCAGGGTGTTATTGCTGCCACAGCACTTCCCAAGCAGAGGTTACTGCTCCCAAACCACCAGCACCAGATCCGGCAGGTAGAGATGATCACAATTCCTGCAGGATCAGCCAGCACACCTTAAGGTGCTGGAAGTGACCCCTGTCTACCACGTAACCCAATGCAAAGATCACTTATCTGCTTAACAAGGGGGTGGAAAACACATCAAGCCGGAAGGATGATCCCAGTTGTGCCTGCTATGGACATTTCCCTTCCTCTCCTGTTCCTAAATGGACTTGGTCATAGTTGTACCATGGTGGAACCTGCAAGCACCATGGTCAAGAACAGACTGGAAGAGATCTATTGCCATCACCTGGTACTGAATGGGACTGAGGCCCAACCATGGTCTTCAACCAGCTGTGCTGATGCTGTATTCCATGAATGATGTTTCAGGTTTCATAGTAGCAGGTTTGGGTGTTTCAAGAATGCCCAAAGAGAACCTGATTTTCAGGAAAAACCTCTAGCACCAATCCTCTGGAAATTAAGACTTTGCTGTGTGTCCAGTTGGGAACTCAACCCCACTCATCCTTCCTGATAATCCTGCCTAAGAGTGGGGCTGATCTCCCAAGAGCAGAGTAACCAAAGCAGAAAGTGAGGGTTTTGTTTCCCTCCTGGCTCAATAGAAGTTTACATTATTTAATTTAAGCGACAAGGAGCGAGTGAGGAGACTTCCAGAAGAGCAGTGTTGTGCCAGGAAAGCACCTGCTTCCCAAGGAATTGCAGCCGGGACAAACCCGGCTGTGTCAGCAGCACACAGCGGCGCCAGTGCCCAGCACACCGCAGCCTCATCCCGCTCCTGCGCCGCAACCTCCGACTGTGCTATTCCAGCAAAGCAATTCCTCAGCTTTCCCTAAGAGCGACAACGACCACGTGTTCTCTCCGGCACACAGAGGAGTGCTGTGGGTACAGCACCGGCGGGCACGGCTCCAGCCGAACACACTGACAGTGAACACCACTTTGCTCTCCGCACTCCCCGCCCCCCAGCCCACCTCTCACACGATTTCAGATGCACGACATACATATCACAGGTAAAAATAAAGGATTCTTCTTACAAAGACTGAAATCTGGCTAGGATGCCTTTGCTCATACAACAGATCTGAGTGAGGTACTCACAGGGGAAAGTCCCTCGTTATGCACAAGTGACAATATATCTGAAAAAGAAGCTATTTGGCTACCTATGTGTCAAGCTTCATGCTTTTATTCCAAAGTGAATGATTTTCCAGCTTAGGTCTTGGACTAATGAAGTAAGCGGCGTTTTAGCATTTGACAGGAGGGTTTCAGCACACAGCTCACACACAGAAGCAGGCCCACCTCTGTATCTAGACTACAGGGGCAAGAGAACAAGCACTGGAGCTCTGGTTGTGGTGATGTGCTGCTTCCAGCCTGAGCCTGCTTCTGTGAGTGGCCCAACACCTACACCCGTATGGTCGATGTGCACACGTCCAGTCTGGGAACAGGCTCAATGCAGAGGCCGGCACCACTCGGTGCAGAGCTGTGTCTGAAACCAGGACAGTCTTTACAGGAGTAGGTCCTTCAGCCTACGCAGAAGATCCTGTGTTCCAGGGTCAAGTACACACCTTCAACTGACCTTGCTCCCAGGCAGTGTGAAGCGCAGTCCAATGCTCCAGCCTGTTTCATTCTACTGCCCCAAGGCAGTGGCACGTGTTCCCCCTACCCAAGCTTCTCCACAACCAACTACCTGGGGAGTAACAGCAGGAGTCCTGTGCTGGGGCCATGTCATTCTCCAATGTTGTCACTAGGTACAAAGTGCAAAAGTGTTGCTGTTCCTGCATCCATTAAAAACTTTAAAAACAGAACAAAACAAACAGAAAAGGATTTCATAATCATTTGAAAATACATTAAGTCTCCAAAAAGCCAGCAAACACCTGATAACCTGGTTGTGCCATATCTGCTCTCGGTCCTGCACGGCAGCAGTCCAGTGGGGCAGTTCTCCTCTCAGCTGGGAAACCACAGCTCCCTCCTTTGCATACTCTCCAGCCAACAGAGGATGACATCCGGGAAGTTGAGTTTTGATGGCTCGGACTGGAGAGACCAATTGCTAAGGGAGCCAAGATCCTGCTGTGAACTGCCCCATCTCCAGAGGAGAGAGCACTGAGCACTCCCTGGAATGCAGCATTCTCTGGAATGCAGCCACTTCCCATTTCTCCAGACAGTTCAGCGTTACAGCAAGTCAGCCACTCGGCCTCTGGCTTGGGACAACGTCAACGGCTTCCCTCCCACCCCACGAAGGTGTAAAATCAAATCCCTCCCTGCTTCATCCCATTTAAAGTGTTTGCGTCTTTTCCTCCTATGAAATGTTTCTGATAAGGCTTTATTGCTATACAAAAGCGGTGCAAATGCTGCCCAAAGACAGCTCCATCAGGAACTTTGGTCACACGACTGCGGGACTCTTGTGCACTGTCCAAGTCCCAGCGTTAGACCTGCTACCTTTCCGAAGAGAAGCTGAATACTGTGTGCAATAACACTAAGAAAATAGGACTGAACCCCAAATACAAAACAAAACCAAGGGAGAGAGGGGACAAGGAACTCAAATTAGGCAGAAGGCTTGCTTGGGAAGAACCCCATCATTCCTGTGATGACTAACTGATTCAATGCTACATTTAGACAATGCAAGTGTCTTTCAGAACAGATAGTTGGTGTTGGAACTGCGGCTCTGGTCCTGAATGCCAGCTCTCTCATCAATGCAGCATTTATTAAAAAATAAAATTAAAAAGAAAACAAAAAAATAATAAATTGACAAATTGCATCACCAGGTAGCAGCCTGGCCTGGGTCACACACGTCCCATTGCATCGGTTTCATCAAGCAGGGCCATTTAATGTGGCTTCAGCACAGGGCAAGACTTCTTCTTTCCTAAAGAGAAACCCAAAGAGTAGTGTTAGAGCAACATAACTACAGGAACATACCCGCTCCTCAAGCTTACTGTCAGCCTGGATGGGAACTCTCCTCTTCAGCAGTATCTGAGCCATCCTTCCGCTTAGCTTTTTTTGTCTTCTGCTGCTGAAACATTATTGGCTTCCTAAGGAGAACCTCCTCCAAGTCCTTTACAAAATGGAGCAAGCACAGAAGGACATGGAGCTGTTGGAGTAAGTCCAGAGGAGGCCACGAGGATGATCAGGGGCTGGAGCACCTCCCGAATGGAGCCCGGCTGAGAACATTGGAGCTGTTCAGCCTGGAGAGGAGAAGCCTCCAGTGTCTGAAGGGGGCTACAAGGATGCTGGAGAGGGACTCTTCATCAGGGACTGGAGTGACAGGACAAGGGGTGATGGGTTCAAACTGAAACAGGGGAAGTTCAGGTCGGATATAAGCAAGAAGCTCTTCCCTGTGAGGATGCTGAGACGCTGGCACAGCGTGCCCAGAGAAGTGGTAAATGCTCCATCCCTGGCAGTGTTCAAAGGCCAGGTTGGACAGAGCCTTGGGCAATATGGTCTAGCGTAAGGCATCCCTGCTCATGGCAGGGGGTTGGAACTAAATGACCTTAAGGTCCTTTCCCAATAACCATTCTATGATTCTATGATTAAAATGCTACATTAAAAAATCAAAACAGGAGCTGAGAAGCCAGCTCCGACTGCTGGTTACACACATTGATTAATCTATTGAACCAGCAGTTTGGAACACAACTGTCAGGATCCTGAGCCTACCGGAAGGCTCTGACCTGACCAACCTCTCCCAGGCACCCGCCAACATCAGCGTGGGAGCTGGATGTGGGTCTCTGCAGGAGCTGTGCTGCACACATGGCTCTGCACCTTCCCTCAGGGATGATGCCCCTCAGGGGTCCGTGTTGGGACCAATCCTGTTGAACATCTTTGTTGTGACATGGACAGTGGGATCGAGCACCCTCAGTGAGTATTTGTTCTCCATGAGTAAGAATTGAGAAGTCCATTGCTCTAATAAAACATGATGTGACAGCACTTCTGGGACACTGAAACGGTTGTGCAATACGTCACAGTGATAACTCTGCACTACCTGCAGTGTAATGCACTCCAAGACACTCCGGGGTTACTACTGGTGTAACTGTGACAGTACACCGACAGCACAACCACCACATTCAGCGACATGGAGAAAGCAATTCTCTGCCACAGGCTGGTGGAGCAGAGCTCTGAGCATCTCACCTGTCTTTTGTGGCTGTTTCTGTGACCATGGCAGCTGTGTTCTGGTGCTCCTCCACGTGCTGGGCCACGCTGTTCCGGGGTTTGGGTGCTTTTGTCGTGCCGATGTCGGTGATGGCCAGCGAGTCGATAACCATGCACTCTGCATCACTGTGGGGACAGTTCATGGGCATGGGAAAGTGGCACTTAATGGGGCTTAAGTTCCAGTGGCGAACAAAAATATTCCTCCTCCTCTCCCAGCACAGGGCACAAAAATCCCATAAGGAAATAAGAATGGAAAATAAACCGGAATCAAAAGGCAGCGTGTGCATCCTGGAGGCTGCTTCCTATAAATCAACACGACACCGAGTACGCACAAGCACAATAGCTCCTCAAGAAAGGCATTCCCATTCCTGCAGCCAAAGAGTTCCCCATGGATCCCCCAGACATTCCACCCCCTCCACAACTACCTCTGCTGGGTGCTCTCCTATGGACAACGCAGGGAACCAGCAGTAGAAGGATGCAAACGTGAAGCACATTTGGCCAGGACTTTGCAAGTTTAGAGGGTCCAGCTGACCACTGGGAGCAACAAGCCAGAAGCTGACCACTTGTCTCCAGGTGCAAACTGGAGACTCAGCACCAATACACAGGACCAGAGAGCAGCCCGGGCTGGAAGGGACCTTGGAGGACATCCTGGTCCAGCCTCTCGTGGGAGAGGGGGTCTGGAGCAGTTCCCCTCCCTTGGAATTGCTCCTGTTTACCCAGCACTGCCCAGCACATGTCCAAGCCCACTCTTTGTGCTGCTGCCTTTGCCGAAGTGTGTTCCTGATCTAACACAGCATCTACACTGCTCTGCTCCACAGAGATGTCCCAAGTAGCACCTGATGCTTCTGTGTACACCTAGAAAAGACTTGGATTTAAGTACAGAAGAAAAAACCAGTTGATTTGATACCATGAGTGGTGACTTCCGAAGCCAAACATGGTTAAATTAAGAGCTGGGCTGGTTCAGCCTGGAGAAGAAAAGGCTCTGGGAAGACCTCAGGGCAGCTCCAGTGCCTAAAGAGGCTACAAGAAACCTGGAGAGGGGCTTTGGACAAGGGCCTGTAGGGACGGGCCAAGGGGAATGGCTTGAACCTGCCAGAGGGGAGACTGAGATGAGCTCTTGGGCAGCAGCTCTTCCCTGTGAGGGTGCTGAGGCGCTGGCACAGGGTGCCCAGAGAAGCTGTGGCTGCCCCATCCCTGGCAGTGTTCAAGGCCAGCTTGGACACAGGGGCTTGAAGCAACCTGCTCTAGTGGAAGGGGTCCCTGCCTGGGGCAGGGGGTGGAGATGGAGGAGCTTTGAGGTCCTTTCCAACACAAACCTGTCTGTGAATCTGTGATTCTGTTTTGCTTTCAGTTACACACTGGATGATAGATTCCCACACCCAGGGGGTAATACTTCCAATGACGTCTCCCTACAACAAAACAGAAGCTCAAATCCTGAAAAATGAAAAACCTGTTAACTCAAACCCTCCAAACCTTGTACAATTGTATTTTAAAGACTCATATTTCTTACTGGAGAAGTGATTGCTGTGAAAATCTCTCTTTAGTTTTTGCCTTTTAAGGCAGAGACAAGCTTGTGTGTGAATGATCTTTCTCACCCACCTCTTCCTTTAACCTAGATCCGGTCTCAAGCCTTATTTCTCCTCCTTCTTTGAGAGAGCAAGCCTACAGAAATGGAAGAAAAGCTCAGGATGACTGAGCTGGAATCCTCTCACCAGCTGCTGGGGAGTTTATAATGCACATATCATCACAGGCTGGTAATTAAGATGTGACAGAGATTTGGAGACCAACCTTCTATTTCTGTAGCAATTTTCTGTGTGCTCGTGGAAAAAATACATTAAAAATAAGGAATAATGAGATCAAAACATTTCTGTTCCTGAAGGGCTGACATGCTCTTAAAAAATAATACTGCAAGTACAAAAATATACCTGGGAGAAGCTGCAGGGGATGGATGAGACAGTGGAGAACTGAACTGAGCTGCCAGAAATGTCATTAGAAGATGACTTCCCACACAGGAAACTGGAGCTCATGAGACTTCAATTGCTTAAAGATAAACTCCTTAAATCAATCACTGAAACTTTCCACGACACAAGGATTCCAACGTGATGAAGCCCTGAGGGGAGCTGACCACTAAGGGGGCATAGAAGTCCATCTCTCTTCAGCAGCTCATGGAAAAGCAAGGCTGGACACGCAAAGCTCTGCAGAAGGACACTCACCAGCAGAAAACAGACCAAGGAGTTAGTGTGGAAGAGGGAATGCTGTGACCCAGGCAGGAGGTTTGACAACAATATCTCATTCTAGCCTGGAATGAACTCTGGTACCTATAAATATTTGGTGTTAGTATTCCTCTGGTCAGCTTATTTGTAGCTGCTGGTTGTGTCCCTGACAACAGACTGGGATGACCCTGCTGGCAATCTGTCCACTGCCACAGCACCCAACACGCCCCGAACCCCAACCAGGCTGAGGGCAGGGACAGAAAGCACATCGCCCACAGAGAGTACGAGTGTTCTCTCATTATGGCAGGCTAAGGAAGAAGAGTTATCAGCAACAAAGGCTGTATCTACCACAGACTCAAGCTCTGCAAACAGATCACAGAATCATGGAATGGGTTGTGTTGGAAGAGACCTTGAAGCTCCTCCAGTTCCAGCCCCCTGCCATGGGCAGGGACCCCTTCCACTAGAGCAGGTTGCTCCAAGCCCCTGTGTCCAAGCTGGCCTTGAACACTGCCAGGGATGGGGCAGCCACAGCTCCTCTGGGCACCCTGTGCCAGTGCCAGGCAGCTCAAAGTCTCAAGGAATCCTACTCACAGGGAAGAACTTCTGCCTCTAAGATCTCTTATACTTCCCACTCCAGAAAGAATGAGCAGGTTTTAAGCTCTGATTCAAAGCCACTTGTACACATTTTCCAACAACAAGCACATGCCGGTCCAGAACCACGTCTCTTCTCACAATGGACAAGCACCCAGCACAAACAACTTGCGAATGCCACCTACAGCCATGCCCACTGGGCTTCCCAACACAACACCCAGCACAATCATCCTTTGTGCTCACCAAGTTCAATGTTGTAGCCAACTTTGGCAACTCAACCACCAAGTTTGTAAATACTACTCTGGAGGTCACTCAGAACAGAGGCTCCTCTCATTCCACAACACTGCAGTGCTGAGATATCTAAACACCCCCAGTGCATGAGCTCAATGTCCAAACTCTTCAGTCCTATCAGAAAACAAGACCAGAAGATATGACCTGTATTATTAGGCCAAACCATCTTCACCTCTAGGAGGTTCTAACAGTTTGCACAGAACTTCCATCCCTGGCAGTGTTCAAGGCCAGGTTGGGCACAGGGGCTTGGAGCAACCTGCTCTAGTGGAAGGTGTCCCTGCCCGGGGCAGGGGTTGGAGCTGGAGGAGCTTTAAGGGCCCTTCATCCCAAACCATTCCATGATTCCAAAGCTGTACACTTCTGGTCAAAGTCTCTGGTGCCTGTGCAAAATACACGCACACACGGACACATCCACTGCCTCACCACTGGGAAACACATTCATCACCCAAAGGGAAAGCAGTCATGAAAAGCTGCTGACAGTATTACACCTGGCTTGAAGAAGGCTTCGGGGGACCTGCCCTCAATGTACACACACTGTTCTAGACAAGGGACTTCGGAAAATGAGCTTTGGCTTCCAGCTGCCTCTGGGGAAGGTTCCACCGTCTGCTGGAAGCCCAAGAAGGATGATCCTGCACAGGGGGTAGGAGGTGCTCATCCTGCACTTGTGTGAACACTGCAGAGCTTTGCTTCTCAACTGCTACTGAAAACTTGCAGCTCCCTCAACTAATGAGTTTCAACTCCCCAAACAACGGAGAGAAAAGTCTGATAGCTCCTCAGCTTTTACTACATGTAATATAACCCATGAAAACAAGCAGTATTATATACCCTCACTCCAGACCTGGGGTGCTACAAATGGCTGCTCATTCCTTTTCGCCCCAGTGCCCAAACCCTGCACATGCAAAGCTCCCTCAAGCCAACAATGGTCTTCCGTGAAGTGCAACTTCTTCTTGGAAAGCCAGGATTTAACAGAGCTCACACTTCACAACAGCTGAAGTTGGTATGAAATCATTCTCCATCTATCCTGATATCCAGGTAAAACAAAGTGATCTGCTCTTCTGGTTATGAAGACAAAAACATCAGGAGCTCACCTAACTTTTGGTACAATTCAGTTCTTCCTGGAGATCTCCATCAGCTTTAGAGAGAAAATACTTTAATACTGCAACTTTTGAACACCTCTCTTGCCCAGTTTCACAATGAAAACTTCTTTTTACCACCCATTTCAACAGCACTACTGCAAAACACCCCATGCTCACCCTGTCCTTCCCCTGGTCTCTTCACCCAGAGCCTCTTGGATCTAGCAGGACAAACTGAGCTGCGCCAGCTTTGCTGGTGGGTCAGATGAACCAAGCTGACTTGGAATTGTGGTGCCAGATGGAAACCCAAATGCTGCAGCACCTAATGCAGCTCTTCCTCATAAGAAGAGCAATCCTGATCTATAAAGGGTCTATAAAGAAGTCAGTCCCAACTGTTCATAGAGCTTTAGGTACTTTGGGAAAGGAGCGTTTGACACTGAATGAAACAGCCTTGAGTTCAACTCTACCCACCTCTGAAGCTCACTACTGTGGCTCCTGGGATACACTTTAGATATCCTCTAGTCTCTTTGGTATCACAGACATAGACAACAGACCACCATGAAGATGCACTGGGGAAAGCAGTGGTCCTATAAACACAGAAGCAAGAGGGGTACAAAGAGCGTGCCTGGACACCAGCCTCATCATGCCCAGCCCATGAGTGAGTCCCTGACATCCAGGCTCTGCAATGACCACCCAGGAGCAAAGGAAGGGATGCAAGAGCAGCCAAGCCACACACGCTGCTCAGCACACTGTGAAGTGACTTAGTGGCTCTTAAATAAGACCAAGTCACACCACACAGGAGGTCTGGCTTCCAAATGTACATGCAGTCTTCATTAAAAGACAAACACTTATGTCAGTGTAGAAGATCGCACCTATGCCACTTATTGTGCTGTGTTCACCTTGACTGGATCATATCCTGGTGAAATGGGACCTCAGAGTAGCCACTTTTATGCTTCTTTCTGAGTAAGTGTACACTGATCCACAGCCAGATGTGCCGTGTTCCACGCCCCATCTCCCACAGCATGCTGCTTCCCCTCATCCTCTGCTCAAAGCATTCCAGCAGCTCATCCCAGTTAGGCAGCAGCAGGAGACACAAGCAAGACACCCATTTCTCATGCTGATCCCCACCTCATCATGATGGAGCTCCATGCTCCAGCAGCACATGCTGACACCATGTGAATCTCAATGTCATGCAGGACAAACAGGCAGCAAGTACAGAAAACAAACGCATCCCGAAATGGGAGAGCTCAAAACATCCACTGTGACACGTCACTCCACTGAGCCTGGGACACCAGAGCTTTAGTCCCTCTGCTGTGTGTAAGCAGATGCTGCACTGAAACTCCTTGCTTAGGGGCAGCTGAGGCCATGGCCACCCTACGTGGACCCTGGGGACCCTGACACCCTCACCCAGAGCTATGTGAGGAACCACTGCCAGCAGCTATTTCTGAGCTATTTCAGCAATTTAGGGTTGTCTCTGCTGTTAGAATGGAAGTTAAGGGCTTTTGTCCCAGAACCATGTTAAGATGAGCTGCAAGGGAAGACTTTTACAGCCTTCCAATATCTAAAGGACTACAAGAAACCTGGAGAAGGGCTTTGGACAAGGGCCTGGAGGGACAGGACAAGGGGAATGGCTTTAAGCTGCCAGAGGGGAGACTGAGATGAGCTCTTGGGCAGAAGCTCTTCCCTGTGAGGGTGCTGAGGCGCTGGCACAGGGTGCCCAGAGAAGCTGCCCAGATAAGCTGGTGCTGCCCCATCCCTGGCAGTGTTCAAGGCCAGGTTGGACACAGGGCTTGAAGCAACCTGCTCTAGTGGAAGGTGTCCCTGCCCGGGGCAGGGGTTGGAGCTGGAGGAGCTTTAAGGTCCCTTCCAACACAAACCAGGTTGGGATTCTGTGGAACCGGCTGCAGCACCTCAGTGTCTGCTTCCAAAGCTGGGGAATGTACTAAATGAGAGTTGGTATCACACAGCCACAGAAGAAATGAGTTTGTTTTTAACAACTAGCAAGTGCTATTGCTCTCATGGATTCCAGCCTTTCCTCTGAACTTTTTCAGTTGCTTATCCAAGCTACTCGGATGAGGAGCACTAAGGAAAAGGGGACAGTAAACATGTCAAAATAAACAAGAAAGAACAAATTAAAAGGAAAAGAGCATTTCAGATAAAGTTAAACTGAAAGAGAAATTAAAAGTTAAAACATCCCAAGCCCACCACACACAGCAAAGCTGGATTTGTACTCTAAGTGCAGTTCATATTTTAAGCAGCTGTGTGAAACCTTATTAGAACAATTCAGCAGCACAATTCTTCAGACAGCTCTTGAAAATCACACAGGAGAAATGCAAAAGCTCAGGTTAATATCACACAGTTAAAACTGAAGCAGACAGACATGGAAATGCAAGTCATTTCCCACAAGAGCACTGCCCACACTGCACACGCTCCTGCATCCGCCACTCCTCTTTCCCTTTTTTTCACGAGCTGCTGAGCCCTCACGTTTCACCTGCCTCGTTCCTCAACTGCCTCTATGCCTGTACAAAGACAGGCTGAGAACATTGGGGCTGTTCAGCCTGGAGAAGAGAAGGTGCATGGAGACCTCAGAGCAGCTTCCAGTGTCTGAAGGGGGCTACAAGGATGCTGGAGAGGGACCTTCATCAGGGACTGGAGTGACAGGACAAGGGGTGATGGGTTCACACTGAACCAGGGGAAGTTCAGGTTGGAGATAAGGCAGAAGCTCTTCCCTGTGAGGGTGCTGAGGCGCTGGCACAGGGTGCCCAGAGAAGCTGTGGCTGCCCCATCCCTGGCAGTGTTCAAGGCCAGGTTGGACACAGGGGCTTGGAGCAACCTGCTCTAGTGGAAGGTGTCCCTGCCCAGGGCAGGGGTTGGAGCTGGAGGAGCTTTAAGCTTCCTTCCAACCCAAACTTGCTCAAAACAGCTTCCAGAAAGCCCAAGCAGTCACAGACTACCCAAACCTTCTTGGATCACTCCTTAATAGCTTGAATATTACTGCATTCTTCTGGCTAAAAGTGCGGCCTGATGGAATTTTTGATGAGAGACATCTATGTACTGCACTCACCTGCTTATGGGAGAGGCAGAAAACGTCCAAAACTTTGTTAAAATGACACTGTTAATTATTAATCTAATAAATTGTGTGTTGTAATTATGACTACTCTAAAATACACAACTTACAAGTCAGAAAGGCTTTGGCCTCTTCAGGCACACCCTGCATCTCCTGAACCCCCTGCTCAGGGAAGCCAGGATGACATTTCTGTCACTGAGTAGCTTGATTCCAGATCTGAACATTTACACCTTTGCTGGAACAAACTCCTCTTCATACAAACAGTTATGAGATTATGTGCTTATTGCAGTGGGTTCCTCTGCTGTCCCTGATCTCCTCCAGAGATTACAGCAAAGTCTTGCTAGGGAAAATTCCTTTAAATGGATGAGTTGTAGAAAATGATGAGTAAAACCTCAGAATTTAAAAGAAAAGGGAAACATTGGGGAAAAAATAAGTGTTTTGTAAAAATAAATACAGTTTGGAAATTACATAAACCATTATTTTATGGTATATTACAGTAAAATATGCATTAGTGCTGTTGTGAGAAGGTCTCAAGAGACTTGACCACTGCCCCATGTAACATGGGCAACAATTCTAGCAGCCAGCTGCCCTCAGCCAGGCTTTCCTCGAGTCATCTAGACCACAGCATGAACCCTCCGTTCTACAATAACAAACCCCAAATCCTATTTGCAGAAAGAGCTCACAAACAGGGGGGATGGCAGAAGCCAAGGATATAATGTATGACACTAAACACCATATTTGCCTTCTAGAGGTTCACCAATGGCTCTGTTGCTGTGTGTGTACTTCCCCAGCTCGAATTCAGGTTTTTCAAATAGGATTTCCAAGATCTTTTAAGGAATTGAGAAAAGAGGAGCTTTCCAATGGTCCAACAGCTCTTCTTTTCCAGCCCAGGATGAAGTAACTAACGGGAGAAACGACTTGTCAGGTGGATGTTTGGAACCCTGAGTAGGTCCCCGTCATACGTACCCTCCAACTGCAGGTCTAAATACTCTGAGCAATACCCACAGCAAGAGAGAAAGGCAGCGAGAGAGGCAGAGAGAGAAAGCAAAGAAAGGAAGAAACAGTAAAGATTGCTGAAATAGAACAGACAGGAGAGTTAACTCCGCAGCAGCCGCATCCTCAAGCGCTGAGCTCCTGCCAGGACATACCAGGAACATTCCAAAGCCATTTCAAAGGGTACAATCACTGAACACAACATAAAATTCACATCAATATATAAACCAAGCACAAGATTCAACACACTGTAAAAAGCATCCTTCTCAAGCCCAACACACCCAAGCTGAAGTTATCCATGAGTGGGATCTGCCAGTACTGAAGCCAGGTCAGAGAACTTCTGCAAAACCACTTATTTTCACACAAGAAACTACCATATAGAATTAGATATGGGAAAAGAAGTTAGTTAACTACATGTACAGGAGAGAAGTACACCTGGAACACCCTGTCTGCATGATGTTTAAGGTAGCCGGTACTCTAAGGAGTAGTTTAAGCAGGATCACCTTGAGGGACATCCTACCAAGCCATGCACCTTCCAGAGTTTACATTCTGAGGTGGTACAGGCAGGCAGAGAAGCACCAGCAGTTGGGAAGATGATCAGAGAGGGTATTTAGATGTGTACTGGACATCTGGAGGTATGTACTGAAACATCTGGCTCTTGCATGACCCCAGTGATCGTAAAACCTAAAGAGTCCTTGTGGAGCTCCAAGGAGTATTAAAGATCTCCACTGTAGGCTTCAGGAGGGGAAAAAGGAGAAGGAAGCGCTGCTTCTACAGGAATTGGAATGTGGTTTGGGAAGTGCTTGTAGAAAGTCATTAAGAACCACAGAGTCAATCCAATATATTCTCAAACTTCCGGCATTTTTCAGGAATCATTAAGGAACATGGTAAGAAATGAATATACTCACTACTGGTGTTTGAGTTTAACTGTGTCTGTTCTAAGAGAAAGAACAGTTTGGGAGAGCAGCAGACACAAGGAAATTCCCATTCCCATCACTGATCAACACGACAATTCATACACTGGGAGAAACCTGGCTACTGAACCGAGCTGGAGCAGCTGAACTCACCATCCATGGAACAGGTTTGTGTCTTCCCACAGCTTCTATTCTGATTTTTGGCTACAGTTATAGCTGTGGAAGCTATAGACACCTTTAAGTGGAGACTGTGGTTATTCAAGTACCTACTTGCTTTGCCAAAATGGAATTAGCTTGTAGAACTGCAGTCATGCAAACCCAAGTAGGTTCTGGAAGCTTTGTCCTTGCTGAAAGTGCTCCAAGATACACCACTTATTCAGAGAGAAAAACACATTTGAAATGACACTGCTGAAACAGCAGCACAGCCACAACATCTAACCAGCCAAACTAGAAGAAAACCCAGTTTCCTACCTGCAAGGGAGTAAATGGAAGCGTAAGAACCTGCCAAGTAAGATTCACACTGCTGCTGTGCATCCAGCCAGCCACGTGTGATACCCTACTCTACTGACACCATGCATCCGGAGAGGAAAAACATCTGGAGCTCAGTTTGGTTTAGGTACAAATGGCAATGGATTGAAGGAGATCTAATTCAAGTACACTGAAAATTGGAAAGGAGATTGTGCTTTCAGCACAGCAGGGAGTATTCTTACTCTCATCTCTTCTCTGAAGCCAGGCTGCTTGGCCAAGCCATCCCTACGTGTACAAACAAACTCCATTTATCCAAACAGCTCTTCAGCTGCAACCCCTGCAAGCAAAGGAATCCCAGGCATGTCACTCATTTCACCTATGAGGAGGAAAGGGCATCTGAGGTGGGCATCAAAAATAAAACACAGTCATGTTGTTAACAACTCAGCTCAGAGCTGCCAAACCAAACACCTCTGGTTAACTGAACTGGACTTGGTTCTGTAATCCCATTGTTTTTTGAGCCATGGCATTTTAACTCCTAGTAGTTATTTGCTGGAGCATGTACACATGCCAAGGCCACACTGGCTACCCAAAAAAGTCACATAACCCAACAGGATAAGAAGTAAATAGCTGTTCCTGAGTCAGATGCATAAAACAGGGACTCCAACTAGTTAAATTACTCCCTACATACTTACAAGGAATATGAGGAAAACCCTCAAATATCTGCATCCAGCTCTAGGGCAACAGCACCAGAGGGACATGGAGCTCCTGGAGCGAGGCCAGAGGAGGCCTCGGAGCTGCTGCGAGGGCTGGAGCAGCTCTGCTCTGGAGCCAGGCTGAGAGAGCTGGGCTGGGGCAGCTGGAGAAGAGAAGGCTCCTGAAGGGGACACCTCAGAGCAGCTCCAGTGCCTAAAGGGGCTCCAGGAGACCTGGAGAGGGGCTTTGGACAAGGGATGGAGGGACAGGACAAGGGGAATGGCTTGAACCTGCCAGAGGGGGGAATGAGATGAGCTCTGAGGCTCTTCCCTGTGAGGGTGCTGAGGCGCTGGCACAGGGTGCCCAGAGAAGCTGTGGCTGCCCCATCCCTGGCAGTGTTCAAGGCCAGCTTGGACACAGGGGCTTGGAGCAACCTGCTCTAGTGGAAGGTGTCCCTGCCCGGGGCAGGGGTTGGAGCTGGAGGAGCTTTAAAGTCTCTTCCACCCAAACCATTTTTGGGTTCTGTGGTCTTAAATTGGGTAATATTTCTTATTGCACCCAAGTGAACTAGATGTTGAGTGTTTTGAAAAGCACCTTCCCCTCTCAAAACTAGAGGAGGCCAGGTTCTAGCACGTGCAATTCCACCCAAACTGCTGCCCAGCAGGTAGCAAACGTCAGGATCTGCTGTATCTTCTGGAATTCTGCATTTTTTATCATTTACTCTCTAACAATGCACTACTTTGACAAAGAGAGGAAAATGACACCTGGAGTCATTTAAATCTTTGCCCTGCAAGGCCAAGCACTGATTCCAAGACCTTTCATCTGCTACCATGAGAGGTTTTGCTTGACTCTCCTGTGTGATCTGACCTGGCATCTCTGCCATGAGCCTGGGCCTGGATCTCTTGTGCAGACAGACAGAGGGGTGATGTACATGGCCAAGAGGCTAAAATGAGCCACACGTGTTTCTTAAAACAAACCCACTGTGACAAGGAAGCTGGAAGACACCTCACACACACGTGGAGCCATGGGGTCTAAAGGGAAAAGGGATTTATTAACGCCTGGTGACACAAGGGGCAGAGCAGGACCCAAGCCCAGGGACGTCTCCTTCCTACCTGGTGAAAACAGCCTTCTCGTTCTTCGCATCCATGGTCAGCTTGATGGTCTCCTGGCCTGAGCCCGTGCTGATGGTTTCTGTGATGGTGTCAGCTTTGTCCTCCTCCTCCTCGCTGTCGGAGCCCCCGGAGGAGCTGCTGTCTGAGGCCACCAGCGGCGCTTTCCTCGTGACACAGACGTTCCAAACACAGGGGGAGGCAGTGCTGACTGCGGGGAGTGAATAACCCACATTGCAAAGTGAGCAAACCACAGGAGCAACTCCCCACATACCACCCGAGGAAACACAGGCGTGTAAACCAGGGTGTTTACAATGGCTGCACATTTGGAGATGGTGGTTTCTGTGCAGATCCCACAGCATGCAAGCTTATTTTTGCAAATAAGAAGTAAAAATGAGCGTTCTCCACCTGCCACCTCGTGTCTGTGTTTAATACAGATGACAGAGGAGACAGACAGAATCATAGGATGGTTTGGGCTGAAGCGACCTTAAAGCTCCTCCAGTCCCAACCCCTGCCAAGGGCAGGGACACCTTCCACTAGAGCAGGTTGCTCCAAGCCCCTGTGTCCAACCTGGTCTCCTCAGCTCCACTGGGAGAGCACACTAGAAAAGTGGAGCAGAAGAAGGCATCGTGCTCTCCCTTCCAGTATTCTCCAGCTTTCAGTTGCTACTACAGACAAATGATTAATTTAGTTCTATCAAATTCCTCTGTTAAATCCTGATTTTCCTTGCTCAGAAGGGAGGAAGGAAAGAAATCAGACTGAAGGTCACCAACTGGCTCACCACAAGCACCAACAGTCTAACTTCACAGAATCATAGAACCAACAGGTTGGAAAAGACCTTTAAGATCGTCAAGTCCAACCACAAATTTCATCCTCCAAATTTTTGGCAAGTTTTATAATCAAGCCTACCATTGGAACAGCACATTTGAACAGTTTAGAAATGAATGGTCTCTGACATCAACTCTTAAAGTTCATCTTTTTCTTGCTGAATAACATTAGCCAACAAACATTTGGGATTTCCGAGTTACTATTTCAATAGACTGATGTCTGTATGAGACCAGGAGGTGATGCTGGAGGGGAGTTCTCCCTGGCAGACTTGGTTGTACCAGTCTCACTTACAGTTTTTGTCTTGACTCTGCTTCAGGTTCCCTTCTGAATCGTTGCTTTCTGTGTCAACAGGAGAGCTGCATCGTGGACCCGATTCTGAGCTAAAGTAAAGGGGAAAAGCCTTGAGAATGAAGTACAGGTGTCCTGGTTGTGCTTCTGAAGAGCCCCAGCAGAAGAAACCACCAGGATAACCACTCTTTCTTTACATCAATACTTTTAACTTCTAAAAAGCTTGATATTTACTTATTTTCTACTCTTAGTGTAGCAGCTGTGCTGATACACAAAGTATTCCTGTATCACATGACACGATGCTAACACCAGATAGAAGCACTGGAAGGCAAAGCATGAAGCCCTGACCCAGACTAATCAGGCAACATTACAAATTAAAAGGGGTAGCAAAGAGAAGGGAAAGGGAAGAAGAGAAGATCACAGCCAATGTACCCCATCAAACCATCAATCCCAACTCAAGCGTTCTTCCACTCAGAAGCTGGACAGGATTGGAAGGCTCTGTGCCTCTTACCAGCAGAAGGGCTGGAAGTCTGTAAACTTAGCCCATCCTTTCTCCTCTGGCGTGGTGTTCTCCGGGGCTGCTGAATCCCACACGCTGGATCCAACATCCATGGCAACACAGGGCGTGGGGGGCTTCGAGTTGACGGGCTCGAACACCGCTGTCCAGCCAGACCCTGGCCATGGAACCACAGACAGGAACCCTGTGAGCTCTCCCAGTCTTTGGGTGTCCCCAGAAGATTCCGAAGTCATGCCAGAGACAAGAAACCTTCAGAATCTACAGGTAGTACCCATCTCACATGTTACAATCAGCTTCAAAATCCCTCTTCTGATAAATACGAACATCATCCACAAGAGAAGCACTGATTAAGAAAAATGACTTCATGAATATTTTCATTCCTTGAGCCAGTGACTTTCAACTGAACCCCAAATACCTCCATTTCCTGCAAACCAAGTGGCTTTCAACCATTTCGACCACCAACTGTTACATTTTGGCAATTACAGGGAAAGAATTGATACATGGATTAAAATGTTGATGACCATAGAAATGATCAAAACTAAGGACATACTTGGTTTTTACAATCCCAGTCTACTCTAGAACACCTGTTCCTACAAACCATTAATCTTTAAAGGCATTTTAACTTGTGTTTTCTCAAGAAACAGAAAGGATTGCAGAGGTCTGTTGTGCAAACTGATTTGCACACAACAAAACTAAGAGTAGGAGAGATGCATCAAGCCTACACTCACTCAAAAACTGAACCAAAGTTTGAACCATGTCCCTAAGAAGGGTAACAAACCTGATGGACACCATCCACAGGATGGTATTTGAGGTGTTTATAATGGCTCTTCCTAATAAGAATTGAAAGTATTTGACACTGCTGAATGGGTTTAGAGAGCTGATTACTGGGCCTTGAGCAACCTGGTCTAGTGGGAAGTGTCCCTGCCTGTGGCAGCGGATTGGGACTGGATGAGCTTTAAGGTCCCTTCCCACCTAAACCAGTCTGGGATCCTATGATTCTCTCCAGTCTTCCTCCAAGCATTGGAAGAACGGGTTTGCAACATGCAAACCAAAGCTAGATCTGCAGGACAGGCAGATACAAGGAGTGTGGAGACACTTGGCAGTGTCTGCATAATCCTCTTCTAACGCAATGTAAGGAGTCAACCTCATAATCCTCCTCTGATGTTCTGCTGGTGAGTATTTGCACTAAAAGCACTGGTATTACTATTGTACATGTACCTGTGTGGTTCTCTTGGCACAACTGAAGCACCACTTTGCTATTCTGAAGAAGCTGGGCTGAGCTCAATCTCAGTAATGCTTCTGAGGCAAGAAACGAGGACTGAATCATACACTCATGGAATCAACCAGTTGGGAAACGCCTTTCAAGCTCATCCAGTCCAACCATTCCCAGCCCTGCCAAGGCCACCACTAACCCTGGCACTGAGGCCTCGGCTCCACGGGCTGGGAACACTTGCAGGGATGGTGACTCCAGCCCTGCCCTGGGCAGCCTGTTCCAATGCCTGAGCACCCTCTGGGCAAGGAATTGTTCCTCAGCTCCAGCTAAACCTGCCCTGGGGCAGCTTGAGGCCCTTTCCTCTTGTGCCATCCCTTGTTCCTTGGGAGCAGAGACCAGCCCCCTCCTGGCTCCATCCTCCTGTCAGGCAGTTGCAGAGAGCGAAATTCCCAGTTCCCATCATCACAGATGGAATTGCAGAACAGCCACAGAAACCTGGCTGTTTCCAAACTGCTGTTCTGCAGAGATGTTCCAGATCTCAGCTCAAAGGGGATGATGTTCCCAACCATTTACCTTCAGAGGAGTCAGAGTCTTTCTGCTCAGAAGTATTATTCTTGTTGCTGTTTGCTTGGGAAGGAGGCAGCTGCTGTTCCGTTTCCTCCTCTTCAGAGTCCACGCTGCCGTCGTGATCCCCATTCTCAAGATCACTTTTTGAGGAACTCTCTGAGGTCTGAGATGCTCCAAATCTAAATTGCAGAACTCAGAATGAGAAAATCCCTTCCAGCAGCCAGGTGCCCTCTCACCTGCCCCAGGGAGAAAGCCCAAACACTGAGCAGACCAAGTGAGGCCTTTTAGAGGGCTCATCTCCCCAAAAGACACAAAGCTCAGAGAGGCACCAGAAGATGCTCCTCGAGGTGCTTCCACATCCCTGTGATCTTTACTTGCCAAAATGCATCTGCAGAGCTGGAATGGGAAATATGTTGCAGTGACATGTTCAGGGCTGGTGACTGGTATGAGCAAACCAGGGGAGCACTGGTGTGGTATCAATTCCATGTGTGAGCAAGACAATTACTGATGCTGGGCAAGTAAATGTTAAAGTCTTGGCCATTTTTCCTGTCTCATTTGATTGTATTTTCAGACTTAGAGAATTAACTTTATTTAGTAACTGACTATATCAAAGGAATGAAAAACTGTAAATGATTCACAGTGGCAGAGATACACCACAGGAGAACTCTTGTTCTCATGCAAAACATTCCTTGTTCTAACATTGTGGAAAAGAATATTCCCTCCCCTACCCTCAGCCTTACCATTTTTCCAACCTCTTTCTCTCTAAATGTGAGTAAGTTCTAAGTTATTTCAGACTAAGGCTGTTTTTTGTTATCTGGTAACAGACTCAGTAACTTGGTGTTTCTGTCATTAGTACATTGCCTTAAATTGAATCTTTGTTTCATGTTCAAGACAAACCACCTCTTCCTGCAGCCATGTGATACAGAAAGTGCTCTGGTTATGCCAGAAAAAGGCCTCTTAGCACATAAATAGCAAACAATTAAGCGTGCACTAAACCAAAATGTAGTTTCATAGCATTTGCTGGGGATTATCTTGATTTTCACCTTACCGTGTTCTTGATTTCACTTGGGTTGCATAGGTTATTTCCTTCTCTTCCCAGATATCTTCTTCCTCCTCGTTGTCATCAAATTGTTGGATCCTCTCATTGCAGCAGGCTTCGAAGAGGGAAGCATTGGGCTGAAAGAATATTAAAACCAAAATCAAACCAAATCAAATTCATTATTAGGAGACAGAAACAAGAACCTGAGTGATGAAGAAGCTCATGGAGCAGCATTTGGACAAAACTAATACCATGGTGTTTGCATTTACTCCATTTTGCATCCCAGGTGGTGCAAAAAGCAATGTTTAGCTGTGGAACAGTAATAATAGCTCAGTATGCTCAGAAGCAGCAAGCCCATGAGAGATCCAGAAAGAACCACCACAGTAGCTCAGCCCATGCTGCTTCCAAAGCTGCAGGAGCTTCTATGAGCTGTTGGTCTGTGACATGACTCCAGTGGATCCCCACAGTGGCAGTCATCGTAGGAGAGGGCTGGAAACAATTCCTTTAAGAACACATCTGAAACTGACCAGCTTGGAACTCGGAGAATAAAGTGATGCCATAGATGCAAATGGCCCCAACTGGACTAATCCTCAGTGCAATGTGTTTCAGTGACTGAATTCTCCTCGACAGAATGTCAGGAAGCTTCTAGGCAAAGCTGTCCACCTGGACAGGCTGGAGAGGTGGGACCATGTGAACCTCATGGAGTTCAACCAGGCCAAGGGCAAGGTCCTGTGCATGGGTCGGGGCAATGCCCAGCACAGACACAGGCTGGGGGAGGTGGGATGGAGCAGCCTGAGGAGAAGGACTTGGGGTGTTGGTCCATGAGAAGCTCCCCATGACCCAGCTTCAGTATGTGCTTGAGCCCAGAACCCCCCCTGTGTGCTGGGTGCACCCCCAGAGCGTGAGCAGCAGCTCAGGGAGGGGATCCTGCCCCTCTGCTGTGCTCTGTGAGACCCTCCTGCAGCCCTGATCCAGCTCTGGGGAACAGCACAAGAGGGACGTGGAGCTGCTGGAGCGAGGCCAGAGGAGGCCCCGGAGCTGCTGTGAGGGCTGGAGCAGCTCTGAGCAACCTGCTCTAGGGGAAGGTGTCCCTGCCCGGGACAGGGCTTGGAGCTGGAGGAGCTTTAAGGTCCCTTCCAACCCGAAATAATGTACCAGATCTTAGTTCTTTCAAATGACAGCAGCTGCTTCAGCACAACCGTGCCAGAATGTCCCCTATGAAATAAATACCCCAAAGAGCCACTCACACTGTCGTCGTCTGCATCGATGTTGAAGTTTATCTCTGCGATCCTGTCAAAGGGAGCACTGCAAAAAGAAGGGAAAGAAGTGTCAGTGATGGCATGGAGTGACAAAGCACTTCTGCGCACCCAGCAAGAATAGAGAGATGCTTTCTACGACTGCTCAGTGCCCCCACGTTTGCTCCCTGAATATTAATTTCTGTGTTACGTGTAACAGTGCAACCTGCTCTAGTGGAAGGTGTCCCTGCCCGTGGCAGGGGCTGGAACTGGGTGAGCCTTAAGGTCCCTCCAACTCAAACCAGTCTGGGATTCTAGGATTCTACTGGAAGAACAGCAGAGGGTGCTGCAGGCCAAAAAACTCCAACCTCAGAGCACAGTTTGGGTCCCTGCAGTAGTTCTTCACTGTATCAATGTACCTCTAACTTTAGGCAGTGTTATTTTCTTTCAAAGAAGGCTATTTGTTAGCTAAAATACTGACATGTAAATCACCAGGACACTGAAACATGATTAATGCTTCTTAAAATACTCAAATTCACATCTGTTTTCAACAGTTTTCAACAGCAGGAAAACAGACAACAAGGAGCACAGTCAATACCACAACTGTTCTGTATGTAGTATTTTCTCCTTATCTAATCACAAGTACAGAGAGAACATCCCAGTTACAGATGTCAATGAGCTTCTTCATTTTCTAAGGACATAAGATGCCTTCAGCTTTTCACATAAGTTAATTATTCCCCTCCACCTACGCACACTTAAGTTCAGAATTTGCTGCTATCTGACAGAAATGAAAAGTGTATTTTACTTCTTAACACGTGTAGAACTAAGTATTTAATCCAAGTTCAATTAAACTCTCATTCCAGTCTGACATCTACAGCGCTCAGTAACAGCCCAGACAGGAAAGCTGGACTCCAAAATCTTTCTCCATGATAGAATACAGTTGCCAACTACCTTAATGGGGTTCCTGGGGCCCTGAGGATCTCATGACTCTACTTTGATTCATGCTTGAAAGCAGCTCGGAGGCAACCAAGCTATTTCCACATTGTCATTGCATTTAAGGTATTTCATGGCACCCATAAGATGCTAAAAATAAGGTCTGAGCAGAACCAGCAAAAGAATCCTCAATAAATCACATCTGGAGCAGCCAAGGAGTCAGAGCCATGCCCAGAGCTTGCTGGGCAAAAAGCTTCCAGCTCCTGCCCGGATTCCAGGGCTCTTTGCAGAGCAGCCCCAGCATTTGCTGGCCAAAGTATTGGCTCCAGGATGGTGTCAGCAGGTTCTGCCTTGTCACCCCAATGACAAATAGTTCCTTTGATGGAGAGAAACATTGCCACGAGGTGACAGTGAATGGGCAAAGCTCAGAAACAAGGGAACACGCTGGGTGTTCTCCAGGAGCACTCTCCTGTCAGTCACTACAGACTAAATGATTACAGTTCCTGAACCATTATGGACGAGTGGGACAACTCAGACCCAGCAATTCCCTGAAGTGTAGTTTTTAAGGTGGGAAGATGAGCTTCAGTTTTAATTAATTCCATTAGTTTCTCTCTGAAAGCAGCATGAATTCCAAACACTGAATTCAGCAAGTCACATAACATTAACTCCACCTCTATCGGCCTTCTTTGAACTGTTACTTGTTCCTGCCTTACCTACATTTCCTTTTCCATAAGAGCAAATGGCTAATTTTTACTGTGGACTTCATAAGAACATTATTCTTCCTCCTCCTAATTTCAGTAAGGCCTTAATGCCACTGGGGAATATCTGCAGAATTGCCTGGAGTTGCTCTAATGCTTTGCTTTCTGTGCAGTTACATTTATTCTAGAATAGGGCTGGGTAATAGTTACATGTTTCATTTAAAAGGTTTCTCTTGAAAATGAAGAAGTGCTTCTCCCTGGTTCTACAAGTGGCTTTGGAGATCAGGGGTGGACTCCTATGGAAAGGAAACCATCAGATGCTCTCCAAGCCATTGATCAGTCTGTTTCAAACTAAAGGAGGTAGAGAGTGAGGTTCATTTTCACCCCTGAACCTGAAGAAGCAAGATTAGATGCAAAGAGGTTCAAATGCTCGATATAAACCTCCAGAAGTTTTCTAACCGTACTTGATATTATCATCCTGGTCTGCAAACTCCTCATCGTTGAAGCCGAACTGATCCACAAAGTTTGCTGTCATCTGCTGGATCTGGTACTCGGAGAAGGCCTGAGCAAAGGAACCCAACAAGAGCCCTCATTAGGGTGGCCAAAGACATGCAACTGAGCTGGTGGAAAACATGTGTTCTAGAAAAGCATTAATATCACAGCAAAATGGTGAGCTTTGAGGAATCATCTGCTTCAACCCTTTCTCAAAGCAGGATCAAACAGCAAGCCCTGGAGAGATGCTTCTCTGATCTGCTCTTAGCTTCTTCCGAAGGGACTTATGGAAACTTTCTAGGGAACCATTTGTTGGCTCCACTATTCTACTAGAATGTTGTATTGGGGTTTTTCACTTGTTTTCTTTCCCCTGATACAATATGAGATTTATCTTCCTGCAACTTAAACCCACCATGGACATCAAGAAGGCACTTTTCCTCTAAACCCCTCTTCCTTGTAGGATGAGGCACATGACTCTGTATAATCCTGTCTTCTCTTGACCAAGTGGACCAAACTCTTTCAACTTTTCTTCCCATGTCAGATTCTACACCTCTGATCACTCCTATTACCCTCTAGCTTATCTTCTGCTAATACAAATCACTTTTGAAGGTCACTGCCTCCAAAGGGACATTCACCAAGAATGGGAAAGTAACTCCACATGTCCTTGAAACAGTACCCCCAAATATCATCATGTTTGGTTTCCCACAGCAGGTTGGCTCTTCTATTTTTCAGCTTGCACCCCAAGAATTTGCCCCTCCATCCCTGGCAGTGTTCAAGGCCAGGTTGGACACAGGGGCTTGGAGCAACCTGCTCTAGTGGAAGGTGTCCCTGCCCGGGGCAGGGGCTGGAGCTGGAGGAGCTTTAAGGTCCCTCCCAACACAAACCATTCTAGGATTCATCTAAATTTATTCCCAGTTGGAGGCTAGACCATGTAAGCAGCTACACTGGAAAAACACATAAGAGCTGAACACACTAAGGGGAATTTTGGAATTGCTCCACGTAGGGCAGATTAAGGGCAAACCAGAGAAGGAAGCTTCCCAGGAACAGTAAAGAGCATGTTACCAACTCACCTGTTGGAGAGAAAGTTCATTGGGAAAAGCACTCTCAATGTCTTCATCCTCGCTGGAGGAGTGCAGATGGTGAGTGCTCACCTGAGGGAAGTACAAAGAAATCAGCACAAGTGAAAGGTAAAAAACTCAAATCTTTTTGTTCCACACACACAATTAATGACCAAACTGCTCAGAAGGGAGAAACCACCCCAGTGACTAACACAGAAACATGGACTAGAGTTTACCAACATGTATCAGAGCTGCTGCTTCAAGAACAATAATGCAACATGTTTTCTACAAAGACTCAGCCCTTGTAAGCCTTCTTCATAAAAACAAGCAAAAGAACGAAACACCACCAGCAATATCACTTCTTCTTAGCTAAGAAAAGTCCAGAAGGTAAGAGGCCCATCTGAAGCATGCACAGTATCCCTGTTCTCACCAAATCCACTGTATTCCTCCTGTTGGTTTCCGTCAGTGTCTCTTCTACAAAGCTCTCCCATCTCCCTCTGCAATCCTCAGGTAACTCTGCAAGAAAAAGGTCACCACAAGGTTGAGCACAATTCACAGAGAAGGGATCAAACCAGTCACTCAGCCCCAGTGGTTAACTGGGAGCTTCTCGGCAGGCACATAGACCTGCACATGAGGTAAGCAATGGATTCTGTAAGTGAATGACATTTTATTCGTGATTTCCTAAACATGGCAAATTTTGCTGAGAAAGGACCATCTTTCATTAGGCCAAGCAGTAGGATATCACTGGTCTGAGCATCTTAAATCACTTGTGCAATTATAGTGGGATAAAGACACAAAACTCCTACTACAGCTTTCTGAAAACCAGCATCCATGTGACATGAGTTCTGCTTTTACCTCACTTGTCTTTCCTAGGGCCACCCCCCCGTGTGCTGGGTGCACCCCCAGAGCGTGAGCAGCCGCTCAGGGAGGGGATCCTGCCCCTCTGCTGTGCTCTGGGGAGACCCCCCATGCACCCCTGA